CCTAAACATTCCAGAATGTTTTCCATGAAATTATTAACAATGGTGAGATGTCTGGTGAATTTTGCTCTCTTTTTGCAGTGATTGAAATTTTTTGCAATGAGAATGTCTTATTGTTAAGGATGGTAATGTTTATATTTATGAAATGATATATAAAATATTTAATGGCATAGAAATATATTCACAAAATACTGCTTAATGAAAAATCATACAAAATTATTTATAGTATGATCCCATTCTCATATTTAAATCTATGTCTATTTATATAGAAAAAAGACTAGAAGGAAACACACCAAAATATCAGCCATGGTTCTACCTGAGAGGTGACAGGGTTTTAATTTTCTTTTAAGACTAAAGGAAAAATGAATTGAATTTAAAAATGCAGATATTAAAAAGATTAAAGAAGCTAGAGATGAAAAGTACAGAAATTGAACAAATATGATTTAAAAACTCATTATAAAGCACTTGTATTCATCAGGTCAAATCATGTCCAAACTGTATCTAATGAATAGAATCTCTCTCATTAGCACATAAAAAGCCTGATATATTAATGTTAAATAGAGTTCTACCATCCTTTTCTATGCTAAAAGCAAAATTGGAAGAGACACACAATGTGGATTAAGGACAGAAATAGGTGTCAGTGGCTCAGGGCTCAGATCTTTTCTGTACTAATAATTACCTTCTCTGAGCAAATCATAATTTTTCATTATCCTAGTTTATTGATTTGGAAAAAGCACAGTGAAAAATACCGGCTTCTTCATAGGGCTGCTATGAAAAGCCAGAAATGTTAAGTACTTGAAAAACACTCAGCTAAAGCAAGTGATTCATGGACGTGGTTAAGGGTTTCACTGTCCTTGCGTCCCATATTGAGAACACGGAGGTTAATCCACTTGTCCAATTTTGCAGTCTACATCTCTCCTGCTTGGGGGTCACTGCTAAGCAATTATGCATATGTGTTGTTTTGCCTCCTCATCCTCAGTCTCTCTACTTACTCTGTTTTGTTTTGTTTTTCCAGCAGTTTCCATGGAAGTGTGTAGTCAAGTACTTGGCTTTCACTTGACCAAGATGTCAGCAGTGACCAAAGTGGGGCCAACCAGACTTACCTTCCTAAGGAGGTGGGAATGAGGTAAGGGCCCTGTGCTGGTGGGGAGGGGGTTGCAGTAGATCTGCCCCAACAGCATGCTTTTCAATTCCTGCACCCCAGGTTCCTTGCTAAGGCTGAGGATCTCCAAGGACCTCTTCAGCTTTCTGAGGTGCTCCATCACCTTCTGATGAGTCTCTTCACCTCCAGTTCTGTCACAGTTGACTTGTATTATTTATGACTAGAAATTCAGAATATATAAGGAATCCACATACCACCTCCCTGAGGGGAAAGGGGACTGAAAATTGAGTCTTTGGTATAACACAAAAGCACTAACACATACTTGACTTTAGAGAAAGAGCCCTTCACTGCTGCCTACGTGCAGAAGGATGAGTTCCTGGCCTTCTGGGACACATTTCTCAGCCATTATAGAAGAGCAATTCTAGTTTGAGCCTCTTATTTACAGTATTTAAGGACTAGACTTGGGCTGTCTAACATAGTAGCTACTAGCCTTATGTGGATATTTAAATTTAAATTAGTAGCAGTGAAATAAAAATTCTGTTCTTCTCAGTATCAGTGTTAAGGCTAGTAGCTACTGGGTTAGCATCGAAATAAAACATTTCCATTACTGCAAAACATTCCACTAGCTGGCAATGGCCGGACTAGTCCCTAGACCCAAAGCCGCCTTCTCAGCTCTCCCTGCAGGACCGACCTGCCAGTAGACCTCTTCATTGGTCTGTTGTGACATTCCTAAGTTTGTTGGGCAAATATGCAAAGCAGGTTCCCTAAGTGTCTCGCACATTGGTGAAACCATTGAAACTGAAAATGCAAAAATTTAAAGGAATACATTCAGAAAACACTGGTAATTTTGGGGAGTAGATAGAAGTCTTACCAGGCATTTTATCTGGTACTAACAAAATGGGTCTATTTGGTTTTAGCTAACGGAAGCATAGATCAACATGTGTCATGTAATACATTGTCAAGAAGTGCTCTTCAATTCTAATTGAAGGTTATAGAATTATTCAAAATTTAATAAGCTTTCAAAGAAATAAAGAGGAAAAAAAATGATAAACTTCAAGCTTGGCATCCTGACTTGGAAGACTCTGTCACTTGCTTTGGGCATGCTGTTCAATTTTTAGGGGGCTTCAGGATCTGTGAAATAAAATAATACCAACTCAGAAGGATCCTGTGAGGTAAAGTGGTATGTTTAATATAAGTCAGTGTTCTTAGGATGGTGTCCAACACAGAGGGGAAGCTAATTCAGAACAGAGTCATAAGGAGACACTAAGTTCTCCCAGGGACAGGTGTGAAGGAGGCGGGCTGAGGACACCAGGTAGTATAGATTGTATCAGGCCACCCTTATCTTCTCAGTTTGCTGAGAAAAGAATGGACTGGGTATTGAGGCTGGGGCACTAGCTTAGTGGTAGAGTGCCTGCCTAGCACGTGTGAGGCACTGAGTTCAATCCTCAGCACCACATAAAAATAAATAAAGGTACTGTGTCCATCTACAACTAAAAAAATATTTTAAAAAAATGACTGAGTATCATAGGTCCCCTGTGACTGATTCTATTGTTCACTTTCTTGTCTTCCCCTCCTCTTCATCAATAGCATTATCCAAACTTTTCCCTATTTGAGATGGTGTGGACCTTCTCCCCAGAAGCTGCTATTTTCAAAATAGAAGTTAATGATCTGAACGTTCTCAGTCACTTCTTGAAGGAGAAAAAGTCAAAAAATAAAAAGATGAGAGGGTTGGAGATGTGGCTCAAACGGTAACGTGCTCGCCTGGCATGCACAGGGTGCTGGGTTCGATCCTTAGCACCACATAAAAATAAAATAAGATGTTGTGTCCACCGAAAACTGAAAAATAAATATTAAATAATTATCTCTCTCTCTTTCCTATCTTTAAAAAAATAAAGAGATGAGAATTTGCAGAAAAATACTAGCTTTGTGATTGGGGCTTTGAATTGTAAAGAAGATAGAACTTCAAAGGGGAGGGAGGGGGTGAAGGAGGCATGGGGGCTGGAAAGATGGTGGAATGAGATGGACATCATTACTCTAGGTACAGGTATGACTGTATATATGGTGTGAAGCTACATTGTGTACAACCAGAGAAATGAAGAGTTGTGCTGCAATTGTGTACAAAATGCATTCTGCTGTCAAATATACCGAATTAGATTAAATAAATAAATAAAAATTTTTAAAAAAAGATGCTAGGACTTGGCCTGCTTGACTCCCTTCTTTTGGTTTGGTCTACCTTAAGCTTATCAACATGCTAAACAATGAAAAAAACTATCTGAACTCTGTTTTTATTATTCCTTTCAACAAATCTCAATGGTTTAATAATGACTACCATGTATGGAGTGAAGAGAGCACAGAAAGATCCTGAATGTGTTAATTTTACTTGAGAAAAATTGAATATGAGCCAGAAAGACTATATAATATAGGTAAGTCTCATTAAGCTGTCATTACTTGGAAAGATAGTTTCCAGGCAAATAAACACCGAATCTCACTCTCACAGATCCCTCTAAGTAGCACATTCAATTCAAATCTCCCATCCTCATACATTCTGTTGACTTCAAAGAGAATTATGGGTAAGAAAATGAGAATCAGGTAGGGCAATTATAATTCTGTAAAAGAAAAAAACATGCCAACATTGATTGGATTGCTCAAAAATGAAAGGAAAAAAAGAGACACTTTCCTTCAATACATTTAACTGCTCAAAAAGGCCAAAGTGTTTTAGGATCCAAATTTTTATTGCTTTAAAAATAAAGCAGCAAAATACACTTTCACACAACTCCCAAAGCTGAGGGTGAAACTAGGTCATATATTCACTTATTTTTTTTTCAACTTATCTTTTCCAAATGCTTGCTCTGAGCCAGACATCAATTGGTCAATTTAGAATACTATTGAAAAGCTGCCTCCAAACCCAGTCTTCAGGTTGTCTAAAGGAATTTCCACTATAAACTTTACGTTTTGTATCTTTAAGTCAATTTGCTAATAAAAATACCAACAAAAAAACAAATGTCCGTCTCTAGAGGAAAGGATGCATTAAATTAGAAGGTATGTGAAAGACGAATAACCTCACAAGGGTGACTTACATTTATCTCAGCAGGTTGGCAACCTGGTTAATACCAGAGCCCAAAGGAAAAACATGGTGGATGGCGGGTCAGCCTGCCAGGCAGCCTATCAGAAACACACAGTTGTCTTCAAGGTGAGGAAACTATTCCTAACAGCACTCCCAGATAAGCATGCATACTTCTTGTCAGCATCACTTTCCCAAATGCTGTGGCTTGAATATAGTTTATCCTCTCTGAAACTCATGTTGAAATTTTATTCCCAGAATAAAAAAGGCGTTGAGGTGGTAGAACTTTTAAGAGATGAATAGGTCAAGGGGGCACCACCCTCATGAATGGATTACTTCTGCTCTCTGGACTGGCTTAATTTTCACAGGCAAGAGAGAGTTCTTGTTCTCTCCAGATTGTATTAATCACTACAATAGCCAGCTGTTATATAGTGAGGCTGACCGCTATATTTTGTCTTTTCCACACAAGCTTGCTGCAGTTCAAGGTTCTTGTACTGTAACATAACAAACCCATTGGACCTGTCTAATCCTGGACTTCCAGTCTCCAGATCCGAGAGTTAAACTTCTTTTCTTTATAAGTCACCCAGTCTCAGGTAAGCTGTTTCACACTTTTTCACCCAGGTAATAAGTTGGAAATCCTGAAACATGGCAAGACAGACCTCTGATAGGGAGAGTTAATGTCGACACAGGGAAAAATGTTGACATATCAGAGTTTGACAAGAGTGGAAAGCAGAACCCTATCTGGGCCATGACTTACCTTCAGAGGGCAAAATCAGGTGGAGATCATATACACATAGGGTGTCTTCAAGGAAACAGGGACTTACCACAACAAAAGGATATTGGGCCACCAGGGCAGGGCAAAGCTGGGTATTTGGCATAAAAACACAGTGCATCATAATAAAGTCATTTAAAACAGAATCTAGAGGAGAAAAAAGGTAGAAAAATTAGGTTCTTGTGAAAATCTTTAGGAAAGCAAAGTATCTATTATTCATTTATTTTTAGCCATTGGATGTATGTGTGTGTGTGTGTATGCGTGTGTGTGTGTGTGTGTGTGTGTTTTAATATATTTTAAGTGGGAAATGGACACAAAACCTTTATTTTATTTATTTTTATGTGGTGCTGAGGATCAAACTTGGTGCCTCACATGTGCTAGGCAAGCGCTCTACCACTGAGCCACAATCTCAGCCTGGATGGGGATGGTTTTAACGTGCACAGAAGCATTTCATGTAAAAATAATGGTGACGAGCTTGAGATCAAAACCTAATTTTTTAGGATATTGGACAAAGAAGTAATATTTTAAAAAGAGATAGTTTTATAAAAATAGCACTTAGTCACCTTATCTGCAAAGAATTTTTCTTTTTTACAGTTCTGGGAATTGAACATAGGGCCTTGTACATGCTAAGCAAGCACTCTACCACTAAGCTACACCCTCAGCCTCAAGGAGGTAGTCAAAGCAGAGAATTGGTGGTGGTGGTGGTAGGGGGAAACATAACAAAAAGAGATATGATAAAGTCTATGGGTAGTACTGGAGGAAAATAAAGCTATCTCCTAGATACGAGGAGTGACTGTGCCAAGTTTGAAGCATTTTGCAGGCAGGTAAGGAGGGGGTTGGAAAGGACCCAAGGCACATCCCAAAGATAAGTTTCGTTTGTCTCATCACTGAACTAGATGCTGGCTCTTCATTGCAAAGATAATACCATCCAGCCAGCCTGGTGGGAAACGGCAGGTTGACCAATCTAAAAGTCCCAGGAGTAGGCTTATTGAAACCTGGAACTCAAGGTGCCATGGGGATTTTTAATTTAAAAACAAAAAAGAACTATACTGGTTGAGACTTGTGAAATCTTTTTAATAGACGATGGTGAGAAATATGCAAACTTATCTCTATAAATTAGATTTCCAATGCCCACGTCTTTAATGAACTTATATCACCAAAGTTTGAATCAGCAGCTAAATGTTTAACCATTATACTCATTTAAATCTGTTGTAATCCCAAGTTTATCCCTCAGTGTGCTTAGTCATTCCAGGCCCATGTTGCTGAGCCACAGAACAAGTAGACAGGTGCCAGATGGAAGGTGTATAGAGTTTCTTTTCTTTTCTTTTTTTTTTTAAATTAAAAAGAGGTTGCTTGTCAACATCTAGTCACCTTCATACATTTTATATACTCTTTGAAGATAGTAGAATAATGCTTGCTTATATGCCACTCAGGAGGCCTGCGCTCTGTAGTAGTTAAAATTTTATTTCCTTCCTTCCTTTATTTTTTTTTTTTTTGGTGGGGGAGTATTGGGGGTTGAACTTAGGGGCACTCAGTCTCTGAGCCACATCCTCAGCCCTATTTTGTATTTTTTGTAGAGACAGGGTCTCACTGAGTTGCTTAGCACCTTGTTTTTGCTGAAGCTGGTTTTGAACTCGTGATCTTCCTGTCTCAGTCTCCTGAGCTGCTGAGATTACAGGCATGTGCCACTGCCTTTATTCATTTTTTGTGGAGCTGGGGCTAAACCCAGGGCCTCACACATGCCAGGCAAGTGCTCTACCACTGAAGTACATCTCCAGACTACCACAGTATAATTTTTGCTAATGCAAAGATTTGACATGGGCTCCAAGGCTGAGGACATGTATATTCACAGGGACTGGTCACTTATTATGGCCAATCACCCCAACTCACATTTCAATATGGCTTTCTTATTCTTTACCCATATACAGTGACTCCTGAGAATTTTAAACAATAATTTTCTATTTGAAAATGATTTCCTAGTCACTCATAGCAGCCAAAGTCTAGGAAACTAATAGATCTTTAGGTAGAAAACTTTAGTAAATTAAAAGAATGCATAGTCATATTTAGCAGTTTTTATTTCTATGATGTAAACAAGTTTTACCATAACTGACATTTCTCCTTGTATTGGAAATTCATAAATGCCAAAGGTATTCACCTCCATTATATCCACATGCTTCGTGTACCTGTGCTAGGGTTATTTTTAGCACCCAGGAGAGTAGTGGGCAATATTCATATCTTTGATTTATGAGATACTGATTTATTCTTATAGCCAAGCTATAAACATTACTTATAAGAAAACATTTACTTATAAGAAAAAAAGTCAGAAAAATTGCAGTAAATGAAGTTCAACATTAAATTATGATGTTTGTTAGTCTAGTCTCTGACATCAAAAATGGAAGTGTCAGGCCTGGTGTGGTGTAATCCCAGCAGCTTGGAAGGATGAGGCAGGAGGACGGCAAGTTCAAAGATAGCCTCAGCAACTTAGTGAGGTCCTAAGCCACTTAGTGAGACCCGTCTCAAAATAAAAAATAAAAAGGGCTGGGGATATGACACCATGGTTAAGTGTCTCTGGGTTCAGTCCATGGTACCAAAAAAATAAAAATAAAAAAGGGAAGTGTCAGGAGTCATATCCCATATGCCATCCATAGGACACACTGATTTCTAGGCCCTACATTTTTTTTTTTTTAAAGAAGCAATAATACAGTCCCTATCTCTTTTAAAGGTGACTTTAAAAAGAAAGTTACATTTGCTCTTCATGGGTAGTGAAGACCCTTCCTAAGATGTCATAGTCTCAAATGTTCTAGAATCTTCCTTTTGGGTCAACACCCACTTTCTTTTCTCACTTAGATAGTAATAGCACAGCACATATCAAACTGCTAGCTCTTTCCTTCCTGTTTCTACATCAGTACTGGTAGTCTTTATCCCATCTCTAGTTACTGGTCACCAGCCTTTCTTTAGGGCCACTTCAAAGGTTACAATCTCAATGACAATTTCTTGGATGGCAGTAGCCACTGAGTGCCCCTGAGGCACTGACCGCACTCTGCCTTATATTTGAGTGCTGTGCACATTTCTTCATGTCCTCAGCAATTTTAGGCTTCCTGAGGGAAGAAGGCAATCCTTGGACCTCACCCAAGGTCACCAACTTAGTGCCTGCTCAACAACAGAAGAAGCCTGGACCCAGGGCCTAGCTTGTATATCTACCTTCCCAATTCATGCACTGTACAAAAAAACTCTCAGATAATCAATTTACAAAATGAGAAACTGGAAAGAGGAGATGAAATAAGAAGTCATTGGCAAAATGCTTTTAGGATTGTTGTGAAGATACATTATAGAAATGGTGTTTGAACTAAGTTTTTTACATAAATCTTTGAACTTCTTTTAGAGAGAAATATTCCTCTATGGAACTTAGTGTGCTTAAAATAACCCATGGTATTATTCTGAGAGACAGGCCAGAAGCCAGGATTTTTTTTTTTTTTTTTTTTTTTTTAAGTTGAATGTTAAGGCTAGAAGTGCAACTCAGTGGTAAGGCTCTTGCCTAGCATGGACGAGGCCCTGGATTCAATGCTCAGTGCAAAAAAAAAAAAAAAAAAAAAAAAAAGAATGTTATCTGTTCCAAAGTCATTCACAAGATAGAAATCAAAGTAGAAATAATGTAACTTTGAATACTTAGTTCACTTGTGAGATTGTACCAATCTTTTTCACCCTCAATTCTGTGTTGTAGGTAAGACTGGTTCACTGTAAGGAGATGCTACCTATTTAATTTTATTCTCCCCCCCAAAATATGTTGCAGTACTAAGCCCCAATATCTCAGAATGTGACCTTATTTGGAAATAGCATCTTTGCAGATATGGTCAAGTCAATGTGAGGTCATTAGTATGGGTCTTAAGTGAATTTGACTGGTGTCCTTATGAAAAGGGGACAGGATATTAGGGCACAGACACAAACATGCACAAAGGGTATGCTATAAAAAAGTCAAGAGGAGAATGCCATATCAACATGAAGGCAGAGATCAGGGTAATGATCCTCAAACCGGGGAGTGCTAATGATTGCCAGAGAGGCCCCAGAAATTAGGAGATAAACATGGGGCAGATTCTCCAACATGGCCCCAGAAAGAAATCAACCCTATCACCTTCATCTTGGACATTTAGCCTACAAAACTGCAAGACAATCAAATGCTAGCTTTTGAGTTCCCTGGTTTGTGATACTTTGTTATGGCAATCCCAGTAAATCAGTACAAGAACATTGTTAAACTCTGGAGCAAGAATCCACAACCAAAGAGAACCGTTTGACCCTCAATTGAAGCAAGGCTGTTCTTTATACAAGCAGCTCCAGATGCTTTATGGAAATAGGGAAGTTTTACATGATAACCTAATAGATATAGGATATAGTTGGTAGGAGGGATTGGATGATAACATAAGAGACACCCTGGAGAAAGCTACTCCTAATCTGTATGAATGAAGCTGAGTCATCTGTGAGGATAGCCAGGCACTCTGTCTGTGTCCCATAGGAACACACTCTAAATATTACTACACGTAACCCCTTCCTAAAACTGCCTTGGCAATGCATACTGAGAATGAGAAACAATGCTTAGCATGGATTTAATGGACACACAAAACTGTTCTGTGCATACCTGTTGCTTCATTTAAAGCTGGCTCAAGGCGTATTGTTTCTAGAAAATGCTCTAAAATTTTTTCAGGTGTCCCTGACATCACAGTATACCTAAATAAGAAATACAAATGTCATTAGTTTTTCAAAAACAGGCAATCAATAATAAAAAAATTTTGCTTAAGTTTTTTTTTTTTTAAATTTGAGATCCCAGAGAACCATATGAACTTTACTTTTGACCAATAAAATAAGAAAGACCATGTACCATGCTCAAGTCACACCAAAAGATAATAAAAAAACCCACAAATTGAAGGTTACTGGAAACATATTTCCTTTGTGCCTACATGCAACTAAGGTAAACTTCTTGGAGAGCAGCTCTAGCAGGGTGGAAACTTCTAGGAGGTTGAAAACAGAGAAACTTCAGCCTTGTCCCAAAGGAAACAAAGAGGAACAAGTAAATCCCAGGACAGCTCAGGTTGGGCAAGGGGAGGTGGTAAGGGGAAATGACAGTAAAAGAGGTTACCCATATATGGGTGACTCTTAGCAAAATTTCAGTCTCACACTGGATTCCCCTGCCTCTTTCTGGAATTCTCTGCCTTTCTCAACTGTACACTGGTATGTGCTTTGGAAATGCAGCTAATAATAAAATAAGAGGAAAGAAAAAAATCCCCAAATGCCCGCGAGCAAACAAACAAGGAAGCGTCATGATAAGGAAAAAAAAATCAACAATAAAAATCTATAAAATTTATTTCAATGTCATATATAAATTATTTTTTTTGAAGGGGTAGTTTAGCCTTTACTTTAGGAGATCCATTCAGGGTACTCTCCAACGAACACGAGAGGATTTATTTTTTAAAATTAATGTGGGATGTTTCAGGTTGAAGTCCAGATGGTGACAAGCAGCGAATGAAAACTGTAGGCAAAATGACTTTAAGGTGACATAGAAGTTCCTTTTGCAAAAATCAGACTTTGCTTTCCTACTTGGCACTTCATTTAAGGCCAAACAACAGGAAAGAAAAGCAACAATGAAAATTCCCTTGTGCTGGGAGAGAAGAACTCCAGCGATGGGAAGGCCCTGCTTCCTTGGCCTCCTCACCAACACCTTTCCTTTGTCTGTTAGAGACCTTCATGGACCTGGGTTGAGATTCTAAGAATCTCTCCAATGTATGAAGTCTCAAGGCCTCACCCTCCTGCCTCAGGGTTTTAGAAGAGGTGTGTTAAAATACAACTTTGTACGTGTGAAAAAAGCAACCCTGAAGAGAGTAAGAGTTCCATTTTAAGAAATCTAGCTTTAAAACCTAGAGGAAGGTTGGGGGAACTTGAAGAAAGGGGAGGGCCTATCTATAAATGCCTCCCCTCACATCAGTTGGAGAACATTGCTCAACTCAGTCATTCGTGGAATATGTGATTTCTGATAGTGCTCACCAGATGAGCCACAAGAGAAGAAGCATCTGGCCCCATTAATTAGGAAACTGGGTTGGAAAGAGCATTCCACATCTGCCTACCGTTTACTGTGCCCCAGACGACTAGGTGGGCCCTGAATAAGGCTGTCATGTTTACTCCTGCTAGTTAAATATTATCTCTGTTCCGAAGGTGAAGAAACTGCTGGGGTGGGGATGGGGCATCCAACCTGAGGCTGCAGAGCTGGTGAATGGGACATCCCTGATGTAAGTCTCATCTGCCTCGCTTCTTACTCTGCATGGAGACCACCTCTAGCTGCCTGGAGCTCATTCTGAACAGGAAATTCTCCATGTAAAGAGCGTTTTTGTTTGTTTGTTTTCTGTTTGTTTGGTTTTGAAAACAATTCTTACTTTAAAAAGAGTATAAATACATGACATAACATGAAAACTGAATGCAGAAAGCAATCTGCTACCTCACATGCCATTGAGTCGCTGCTGCTATAAATGTGTAAGCGCTCAATTTGAAATATGTTTCCTTGTCCAAAGTCTAATTCTGATAGCAGGTTGGGTTCACAGTCTAGTAGTCTCCATTTAAAAATCTCCTGGCAAGAGTATAGATGCCTGAGTGTCAAGCCAGATGTCTTCTTACCTCACTAGAGAGAAAGGGGCCTAGCACTGCCCACCTGGCCAACTGGAGATCCCATAGCACCTTTCATTGGCTGCCAAAGACTCCCCTCTGTGGCACAGCTGCCTCGTCTGCCTCAGCCCAGCCTTTCTTCTAGGCTCCTCTGAAGGCCGGCAGGTCCTGACATTTCCTTAGTGCAGGGAGCTCTGAAGGGTGAGGCCTGGAAGCTTTTGGCCAGATACAGCTGTCTGTGACTTGCATCTCTGGTTTGACTAAAACCTCACTTTATGGCTTGATTTCATGGGGGACACTGCCAGGCGCCTACTGCTTGACCTCTGTTTAAGTGAGGTCAAGACCACTTGAGACCAGACAGTATGACTCTTGTCCGTTTACTGCATGAAGGAGTTACTCTAGTTAAAGGGCTCACCCCAGTTGGTTACATTCCACAAGCTGTGAGGCTTTAAATGTATGATAGTAAAAGCTTTTTCCAACACCAACTCTGCATGTGAAGATACTTCTACTGCAACTGGGCGGGGGGGAAGGCCAGGGGAGAGGAGGAGTACTGGAAAGAGACTCTTTTTCCACCCCACAATCAAGATGGAGGTGAGCAATGAGAAAATCATCTAAAGAGAAAGGAACTTAATAACTTAAATAGGAACAGTCATTTCAAATTCTTTCTTTCTTATTAAACCCGCAAACCCCAGAGTAGGAGGACAAAATGGCAAATGTTTGAGGGTTTCATGAAATGTGTCCATCATGACAAACACTGTCTTATTGACATTTTAATTCACACTCAAAGTTGAGTAAGGTGGTTTTGAAATTTTAAATGTGTACATAAACTATGGTGGATTTCCCAGAGGAAAGGCAAATCAGGAAAATAACATTGTCAAAGCCAAACTGGTGACTCTCTTCAAATTGGAAAAAAAAAAAAAAAGAAAATTACTGAGGAGATAGGGACCCTAAAGCTTCCTAAGTTTTGGTTTCATTCATAGACATGGTTACTGTCATGTTATTAAATTCTGGAACATCAACCCAAAATTCACTTACATGGACCTTCCTTTCAGCTCTGGTCTATTTAGGAAAAATCAACATAAAAAAATAACCCCTTAAGAGAAAACGGATTCTCATTCTTCAGGGCACAGTATTTATTAAATGGTTTACTGTGAACATGCATAAGTCTTTCAATTATATAAGAAATTTGGATTGGATGACAGTACACAAATAAGTAGAGATAATGGAAAATCAGATACAGCTCTAAAATAAATTTAAAGCACATGGTATCTCCTTTTCCCACCCCTCTAGTTTAATTCCTTTTAAAAAAGAAACAACAACCCTTTGTTTGGAGAACACCCTGAATTTTGATATAGTAACAAGCAAATACTCTTAATTCTTCCCTATGACATGAAGAGGTGAAGGAAGGGAGGAGGTTTCTTGATCAAATGTTTCAAAATTAAGAATTCTCAGGGCTTACTTTTTCGGGTGGCATGATTCCCTTAGACATCATTAAAGAATTAAGATAAACCACTACAAAATTGTCTAGTTATATGTAATGTGAAGATTGGCAAGCCCCAATCTTCACATTAAAAAAATTTTTTCATTCTCATCCTCCTCTGGGCTGGAAAGACAATTTAAAAACATTTGGGCACATTTTCAAGAATGGAAAATACTAAAAAACAAATAAAAAGAAATTTGGATGGTAATTTTATAGTTCTGTAAGTGAAAGGAAGGTTTTTAAAAATGTAGTCAGCCCTTTTGAAATAAATTGCTTGCAACATTTATTAAATAGTGTTGAAGACATAATATTTATACATAATTGTCCCTCAGTAGAGATAATGTAGAGATTCTGTGGGGAATTGGTTCTAGAATCCTCCATGGATGCTAAAACCCACAAATGCTCAAATCCCCAATGTAAAATTTCATAGCATTTGCATATAACCTATGCACATTCTATAGTGTACTTAAAATCATCTCTAGATTACTTATAATATCTAACAGGCCATCAATGTTATGTAAATAGTTGCTATACTGTATTATTCAGGGAATTGTGACAAGGAAAAAGAAGTCAGTACATGTTTGGTACAATAAATTCTTTTTCCTGAATAGTTTTGATTCTGGGTTGGTTGAATCCACCAACGCGGAACTTGTGGATGCAGAATGTCAATGGTACAATCTTGCTTTTGTAAGCTGGGAAGCAGAAGGAGCAGAGGAGTGAAAATTGGTCAAACTGAACTTAAATTCAAGCTATCCCACTGCAAGCTCTGAGATCTCGGATAAGCCACTTGCTTCTCTGAGCTTAAATTTTTCCATCTTTTAAAAGGGGTTGTTGTAAGAGTTAGGTGAAATCTGAAAAATATGCTCCAGCCATTTAATGTTTCTTCCTGTCTCCTTTGTAAATCTATTGATTCATCTAGATGAAAATATCTGAGTCTCAGGTTTCTAGTCTAAGTAATAAAAATTCATCAGGTACAGTGATGGTTCTGATGAAGGGATCCCCACTTATTTAACAACAAAGGAAAATCCCTTGGGATGTTGTTATGGTTTAAAGGTGAGGTGTCCATGAAAAGTGCATGCATGAGACAATGCAAGAAGATTCAGAGGAGAAATATTTGGGTTTAAGAGTATAGGAAGTGTGAATTGGGGCATGGCTTTGGCATATATATTTGTATCTGGCAAGTGGAGACCTGTCTCTTTCTGATCATGGTGTGAGCTGCTTCCATTTGCCACACTCTTCTGCTATGATGTTCAGCCTCACCTTGAGCTCTAAGGAATGGAGCTGGCCTTCTGTGGACTAAGACCTCTGAAACTGTGAGCCCTCAAATAAACTTTTCCTCCTTTAAAATTGTTTTGGTTGGGTCCTTTAGTCATAGAAGCAAAGAAGCTGACTAAAACAGATGTATTCTCTTTTAACGTATTATTTGGCAACATTTCTTTAGCTACAGAATTGGTGTTTTTATTACACTCAGATTTAAAATTCATCTCCATCTTAAAAAACCCGATTCTGCAATTTGTTGTAATTCCTGAGAGCCACAGTTCTCACTCTCCTGTCTTACCACTCAAACATTGGTGATGAAAAAGTTTTATGTAGCAAGTAAAAACTGAAACAAACCAGATATACTAAAAAAGACTCAAGTTAAACAGGAGACCTGAGAAATAAGGAGCAAATCCCCTTTGGACATCAGCAGGAATAAGCATGAATGAGGCCAAATGGATGTTTCTGTGCTGCAATCAACAGAATATTTTGTATTTGAAACCCGGGTTTCCATCAAACGTTCATTCTGGTAATAAGATGAAAACACTTCCTGAGAAATCCTACATATGACATTCAAATACCGGAGATTCTCATCACCTCTGCCACATCCTTGAAGCTGCCTGGCGTTCCTGTTCCCATTGTTCTCTCCCTGCCTTCTGTTCCAAAGCTATTAAGTTGAATAGTGTGTACAGAGAGGTTTTTAGAGTAGGAGAATATTCTTTCCAGCATGACTCTAGGCAGCACCAAGCTCAATGCAGTGCCAGAAATGGATACATTATACTCCACAAGATGTGTGATTAGTCAATAGAGAGAAAAAAAGTCACACATACACTGCCATCTTCCACAAAAAAAAGGAGAACATGCTATTGTAGAAATGATGATACCATGTGAAAAGGTTAATCATAGTCTGGCAATTACAGTGTTGGATGCAAACATACTTTTGCTGAGGCTGTGAGTTTCCTTGATTAGAAGCTCTGCTCCCTGCTGGGACCTTCTCCAGCACCAAGACATCTTGGTCATGTTCTTTAAGTCTGACTGTGTTCGCCTCAACGTCCTGCAAATACAAATTACACCACATACAGATGCCGCCGTTTACTCAGACAATGAAAAAAATTTCAAATGCTTCAGAAACTCATTTGGTGCTTGTGATGCTAATTGTTGCGTCTACAAATTAAGTCATTTTCAAAGTCAAGGGCTGGAACGGTCAGAGAGAGGACCAGATGAGGTTTGAGGCATGTGTTTTTGTTTTTTTTAAAACTCTGCTTTTACACCCGACTCAGAGAAACAGCAAAGTCCAGAGTGATGTGGCTGTGCTCTGAGAAGCCTTTGAGAGACAGCGGTAGAGCAGGGAGACAGGGGAGAAAGGTATTTATTTTTCATAAAAATATGTGGCAAACAGCACTCAGCTTCAGCAAAATTCTCTTTCCTTCTGAGTGTATTTAGTTTCCTTAGGAGTGGCACCACTGTCTCTAATCAAAAGACACTTAGAAAAATCAATGTGAAATGTGTTAAAATCTTTTTCAGTTATTTTAAATGACATTATAAATTATATCCGTGAGATATGGTCTGAAGCTGATTTTTTTCAAAGAAATTTTGGCTGAGCATAAAATTCCAAGAGTTAGTATAGCTGAACTGTAAACTTCCATATCCTTTTAAATAATTGATTTTAATTTTTAAATGTGCTTTTCCTCAACATTTGGGCTCCATCTTAAAAGAAATCAGATAACAACCAAATCAGATTCCTTGGGGGTATTTTTCCCTGTGTTGTTCAATGGTATAAACGAATCTAACTTTCTTTGCATTCAGATAAATGGTTTTTTTTTTTTTTTCCTTCTTTTGGTACCAGGGATTGAACCCAGGGGCACTCAACCATTGAGCCACATCCCCAGCCCTTTATATTTGAGACAGGGTCTTGCTAAGTTGCTCAGCGCCTCACTAAATTGCTGAGTCTGACCCTGAACTTGTGATCCTCCTACCTCAGCCTCAGAGTCTCTGGGATGAGAGGTGCGCACCACTACACCCAGCAAGACAATGCTTTCTTAAAACAAACTTTGTGGTCATAAATGTTGCCGGCAGAGGCAGATGCTTCTGGCAGTGTAGGGATAGCTATCTCAAGGAAAGGCAGAGAAAGGAGGAGAGCAGAGCCATCCCAGAGAGAATAGCCTCCCAGGTGAACTCAAGCTAGGATGGAAGGATCAAGGCCATGGAAGCCAGGGAGGATGGGACACTGTCATCATCCACAATCAGGTCCCTACCAGCCAAACCTGGGTTATCCCTTCCAAGGAACCAAGGACTACATGATAGGAAAAGATCAGAGACCATTTCTTCTAAACATCCTCTATTCTCACAAACAACTTAACAAGCTTAAAATGGGCTCATCTTCAGGGCCAACACTAAGTACAATTCCCCAGCTTCCTCTACCACCCCAATTCTTTTCCTACTGACCAATGTCTGAATCTCCTTTAGTTCATAACAATTTGAGATAAAGCACTTAAAATGAAAATGCTGGGTTAGAGTAACCAGGACTGATCTTAATTTCCACTAATGTGCAATCACTCAACAAGTCAAGAGATTGTGGGACGATATGAGAGAGGCTTAGGTTTGGGAGACCTGGGAGGTGGACATTTGAAAGGTCTAGGATACAGAAAAATGTGGAGCAGAAAGATTGCCACTGCTCTGGAGAGTGGGATGGGGAAGGACACAAAAAGGACACCTAAGATGCCAGAGAGAAACTGCTTAGACTGTGACATTTTGCCAAGGCAATTGGTATCTATCATCAATTCTCATGGCCAGTATAGGCATGTGCAGAGGAATCTGGTCCAGCATCACATCCTGTGTTTACACCTTTCTGGAATATCATCTCTGGACCCCAGAATGCACACCCATTTCATAACAAAGCCCTTTGTTCCTAGAGCACCCATTCATCACAGTACTTCACTGAGATCTCTGCTCATCTGGGAAAGGGAAAAATGGGACAGCCTTCGGGCACACCTAGCTTTGGACTCACCCTCAGAATCCGGTTGAAATCCTCCTTGTCGACTCTTAGGAAATGACAATTATCCTCTCGCAAGACGATTGAGGCAGCTCGCGGAGCATCGTTCACTAGTGCTAACTTGCCAAAGTCATCTCCCTCATGCAGGGTGCAGACCACACCCTGGAGAGAGCAGGACATTCAGGTGAAATGGAGTAAATACTCACCCACCCCTCATCACCCCGCCTCCCCTGAAACACTGTCTATATAAATGGGCTGTCCCTCACTATGCCAAAGTGGGATTCTATAATTAAATTATAATGTTTAATTTTTCTTTCATTGATTGAGATGGTCTAGGGCTTAACTCAAATAAGGAGATGAGCCCCCAAAAAGTATGACTGAATATAATAACTGAGAAATGTTTTGATTAAAGATGCAATATTTTTGGGGGGCTGGGGCTGTAGCTCAGTGGCAGAACGCTTGCTTAGCATGTGTGAGGCATTGGGTTCGATCCTCAGTGCCACATAAAAACAAACAAATAAAATAAAGGCATTCTGTCCATCTACAACTACAAAAAATAATTTAAAAAAAAGATGCGATATTTTTTTCTCCCTGGAATAGATGTATAAGATGTAATGTTGTTGCAAGTTTAATTGTAGCACTGTTGTTATTACTTAGGGCCACACTAGCAAATGGAACACAATAAAGTTTTAAAAAGAAAAAAAGAGAGGTATATACCTTGCCATAAATGACTACATTCACTGATCCTTTTAGAATAATGTACCAGGAGGTACCTTCTTCCCCCTGGTTAAACACTAGACACAAAAAGATGACAAGAATAGAAGCACATCAATACAAATTACAGCTTATCAAATCATCATTTTTAAGTCCCCAGAATTACGCATACATAAAATAAAAAACCACTCGCAAATGCTAACTTATTCAGGTGGAATATTATTTTTCTTTCTCTAGAACATGAAAGGAAGAGAAATCCTGCACTACTTTCTGTGTCCTGAAAGACAGGTTTTCACCAGATACTAATTTGCCAGCAGTCTATTTCTTAAAGAAATGCACATTCTCCTAATTCATCAAAACATTATGCCATAGAAAATAGTTTTTAAAAGTAATCTGACCAGTAATGTGAAGTTTGAAAACATGAAAATCAGCACTACATCTTGTTTACAGATATATATCTACTTATATTTTTTAACAAATGGGTGGGAATGATAACCACTACTGTCACGGTAGAAATTACCTTCAAGAGGGAAAGAACAGGATACAGGAGGGAACCAGAGGCCTTCAATTGGAATTGAATTCTTTTAGAAAATAGGAAATTTTTCATTTTTTAGAAAATATGAAAAAATATGGCATAATGGGAGTGTTTGCTAAAGATTTAAGTAGTATTTGTAATATGTTCTTTCTTGTTTGAAACGTTTAAAGATTTCATGATCAAAACAATTAGTAAGCTGGAATGAAAGAGCCATTGTAAGTCATCAGTGACCATAAAAATAAAAAATATTAAAGTGAACCATAACCTGTAAAGAAATAACATTCTTACTAAGATAGATACAGTATCAGAAAGATAGACAATATTATCAGATAGATATTAGTTCAGTCATGAAAGTGAATCCTTTTTTTTTTTTTTTTTTTGTAATGCAGGGTACTGAACCCAGAGCTTCACACCTACTAAGCATGAGATCTACCACTGAGCTACACCCAGTCCTGAAACATTTTGAGATATAATTTTTAAGACCTTTTACGTTTCCAGCTTATTTGACTCTCAGAATACAGCATAAAGAAAGAGCAAGATTGTCTCTCAGAAATTTAATTGTTGTTCCTTAAAAAATGCTCAGTGTTCCACTAGGCTTAGGAAGTGTCAGTTTAAAGAGAGTGATCATTTTGTGGCTCAGTGGTTGAGAGCCTCTGAGTTCCATTCCTGGTCCCCGCCCCGAAACAAAAAAAGATAGTGATCATTTTTCTTTATTGCAGAACCTCTGAGAAGCTACAGTATGCTGATGTGCCTTATGATTCTGCAAGAGAAATTAGAGAAGATGACATTTCTTGGTAAGAAAAATTCTGTAGGACTAATGGGAAATGCCAATGTTATAATAACGTTCGGATCTCTTTAATATCAAATTTCGATTTCTTGCTTCCAAATATGATCACAGAACTAAAATACCACTTGAATTCTGGAGAGATGCTATATATTAACACTGCATCTGTGTTTGGGGCAAAGAAATTCTCTCAGGCTTGGAGCCTACAGTGGAAGGGAGAGAAGAAACAGAACATAATAGCTTAAATATGATTGTAACTAGCGATCTTGAGAGACAGATTAGTTCTTCTGAAGCCATAAAGTGAGGTCACTGTGAGTGGGAGCACCCAGGGCCCTGCCTGAAGAACAGTGACCTTACCCTGCTCCCTTTAAACACCATCTTGAGCCAGTAGGGTAGGGAGTGAGGAGGGTTCAGGCTGGCTACCACCTGTCAGATTTACTGACAGGTGCTGGAATAACCACAGGTCAGAAAAACCTAAGTGCCACATGACATCCTGCCAAGTCAAACTGGGGGCTGGGGGTGTGTGGTCTGCATCAGGCTTCCATGACAAGTGCTGGAGAGGATGAGCCAGGCTCAGTGTTCTATCACAGCTGTCACTTACGGACGGTCCCTCCTTTGGCATGAGACTCAAAAATGAGAACACCTGCTAACTCCCGTTTCACCTAGAAGAAAAAGAAAGAACGTGGAAAGGCCAGGTTTGCGGGTTTTTGGGGAGAAGAACTTGTGCTCTTTATGGGCACAATGTTGATGGGCTCCTTATTTCTCTCCTGGCTGTATGTTACCTTGCCTGTTGCTAATCTCAGAACTACTTTCACTAGATTTGCAGCTAGGTTCTCAGAGACTATGGGAGAAATATTTACAGCTAGTTCATATGGGACAAGCTCCTTAGAAACTTCTTAAAACATCCCATATGCACAAACCTATCTTTTGCTTTGGGCAAAAAGGTGAGACATCTACAACATCCTATGCTTCTCTTGCTGTTGGTGGCTCTTTTCTGCATCACACAATAAGACATCACTGCAAACATGCTGAAAAAAAAGAGTCAGTCTTAAAGTTGAATCATTAAGCAAGTAGATTTATATTCCAAGATAGTCAAAATTCTAGGTTACTCCTAGCCAGCTAAAATTCCAATCTTTAAAAAAATTCCAAATTATGATTTCAATGATAGGTCTAGCTTCCTAAGAACCAGGTGACCTGTGACTTTTTTTCAAAGTGCTCAGGCACCTAGTGTTTGAAGAAACAGAGACCACCCACAATTTCTCAATTCCACCAAGACTGGAGAAGTCAGAACAGGGGCATGCTGGGTATCTGAAGCACAGGAAGGGAGAAGAGGTCTTTCCTTAATGAGGCTTATGGAACCTCTGTGGCCCGTCTCTACATATCCACAGGTTCCCCAGGTGAGGCTCCAGTCCTAGCAATGCATCTAACTTAAAGTCCCTCTGACCAGCTTGACTAACACACAACTTACTGTGGTAGAAAGATGAGATAAGGCTTTAATATGAAGGAGCTCTTCGTAGATAATCTCCAGGTCATCCATAGTCCTTTGGCCAGGTCTACAAAAAGAAAAACATTATCATTCAGACTTCAGCATGGAAATGATACTGCGGTCAGCAACATGCTCAGGGATGTCTCGACATAAGAAGATATTGGCAGAGGGGAGAGATCATGCCATTATAATTCTCAAAGGGATTTTGAAATGAACATGTCCTTTGAAGGAGAATCTGGGAGCAATCTGATGTGCACAGAACCCTTTCTCTTCTAATGGCAGAAAGAAGAGTCCATTGTCTCACATTGTAGTTGGCTAACTTGCCCTTGACTTTGCAGATGGTTGATCTGAAAAACTACTTTTCATTATCACATCAATCAATAGTGACAAACCTTGCCTCTTAACACTTGAAGTAATTGGTTCAATCAACTTGAAGTAGATCCAAATTCTTTGGGATCCTGTGTGATATTTTAGCTTAACTAAATAGTAATGCTAAAATAGTTTTGGGTTAGTAGTATGTTTCTTTCAGAGGACTGAAATAGAGGATGCATATAGACTCATCACTTTTTTAACCAAGCCCTAAGGAGGTAAGGGCATGAGATGAGAACGAGGCAAATAGCAGTGTCTGGGATTAGCAAGACAGGAAAAAGCGAAGTATGTCTCGACATTTCTCAAACTCTATTCCATGGATTACCTTTGTCCATAAGAGGTTAATTGACTTTTGTAAAGTTTTTTTTTTAATTCTAAAATTTATTATAAAACTAGTATCCAATAATATACCTTTAGGAAACAGGGTTTGGGGGTTTTACAGACCTTTTTGTCATGGGAAGACTGAGTGAATTCCTAATCACCTTTTGGGTCTGTAATTATTTTCGAGTCACTTATAGTGTTCAATTATAAAAATGATAAAAGATATATGATTAGTTAGTAATTTGGAATTTTTTTTTTTGTTCTCTGCAATATAAAGAATCCTGACTAAAATGTTTTTGAAACTTAAAAACAAATGAGTAATTTATTCTGGGAGTGCTAGGAAGTCAACTGAGAGACAATTTATACATTGATGGGCAGGCAGCATTTACTCTCAGCAAGTTGCTGTAGTCATCAGCATTACTTATTACATAGTCATCATCCTATTTTTTTTGCATTTTGTCCTAAAATTACAGCAACTTATGGTATTCTTGTTTGTTTCTTTTTCTTTTTCTTTCTTTCTTTTTTTTTGTGCCAGCGATTGAACCCAGGGGCATTAACCACTGAGCCATATCTTCAGCCCTTTTTTGTATTTTATTTACAGACAGAGTCTTGCTACATTGATTAGGGCCTCACTAAATTGCTGAGGCTGGCTTTGAATTCACGATCCTCTTGCCTCAGCCTCCTGGGCTGCTGGGATTACAGGCATGTGCCACCATGCCTGAATAGTCAACGTTATTTTACACTAAACATTTTATTGTGATTGAGCTTCGGATGGCATTCCATCAGGATTACACTGTAATTTTAAAAAAATGTTTGGAGTCAAACAAACTCAGGGAAGGGTGGTATACTGAGCACAACACTGAATTTAGAATCTGAAGATCAAGTTCTAATCTCAGTGCCATCACTCACCAGCCACATGAGGTGAGAGCCTTAGTCCTATCTGAAAACTGGGGATAATTCCTTTCTGAGGGAAATGTAAGAGCTAAAGGAAGCATTGAGAGTGAAGGATATTATTTGTGTAAGTAAAAAAAAATCCATCAAAATTATATTAAAAACTCAAACACTTGCATAGGAAGTTAAACAAACTTATAAATAAAAAATGACATTTGGTGCAGCAAATTATATCTGGAACTTAGTCAATTATTAGAACAGTACTCTGAGCGATCAGAACTGAGTTGTCAGTATTCTAAAACAGTTAACTGGATTAAACAATTTTGCAACCATATTATCACACAGAAGGCCAACAGATCTGGTGGGGACCAGGGAGAGAATGAAAACTATGTAATTTACACGTTGCCTCCACAAGGACAGCTTTGATATGAATAAAGGAATATGATACCCTTCTCATAGAAGCAATGGAGGATCTATTTCTTAATCCTGGCTGCACAAAGACAGACATTAAATCCATGACCCGGAAGATGCCGGCAAGGGTCACCTCCTGCTAAGGATCACCAAGGAAGGACACAACTGCATACCAATCTAGTGCTTAGTGGTAGAACCCAGGAAGTATGGAACCAGAAAAGTATGGGACAGAAAAGCTGTGGCCACAGGGGCTCCAAAGGATCCAGGCCTTCTTGGCAAGAGGTCTAATCTACACTACTTGACTTAGACATGGGGATTTCAAAACTAGGACCCTTGGGGATTTAAAAGTCAATGGAGTCACCTCTGTCCATCTACTACCGTAGAGGTAGCTAACATGACAGACTCAGGTAGACGTAAGAGGATTATGGCTCTTCAGCACAAGGAGCAACCCTGCTGTTCTTGCTACTTGACATCAGCTGCAAATAGCATGGAACTCTCCTAAACGCTTGGCTAAAAGAGAAAACAGTCTCCAAGTCCCCCTTCTCACCTCCATAGGGTGGGCTGTGATGGAAGGAGGAGAAAAACCCAGCCAGGAAAAGAAAGGTTTGGAATTCAGCTTTAAAATCTTGATTGACTCAATGATGGAAGTTTGGAAGCAGATCTATGTGTTTGGAAGGAATGTTTATATAACATCAATATGAAATCCATATTACTCACTTAATGGTTCTTTTAAAAAGAGTAGTGTGTGTCTGCGATTTATATTTCTACTTCATCTAAGATTTAAAACATGATGAGGAACTGACAGATCCTCAATGCAATATACTAAAAGTTTCAGTGGTTCAAGGCTGATTTTGAGCTGTTCCAGTTAGTCTTAGGACCAAAGAGTTAGGGAAGAGAGGTAGCAATGGCAATATTTAAGGCATTTTTAAAACATATTCAGTTTGCCTGCTGCCCTGCATCCCCTGCTCTCTCCCTGCTTTCCTGAACATTCGTCCACCTCTCATACTGTGTTCTTTCCCCAAGGCTCTCTTCTACCTTCTCTCCCTGAGAAAAACTCCCAAGGCCAATCCACCAAATGAAGAAACTGATATCATTATCTCCAAATAGCCTTCTTCCTGAGTGCCAGTGGCTTCCTGTCCATGTCTTTCCAGATAACCCACAATACCTCCAAGCACAATCTATCCAGAAGTGTTCCTTCACCATTATGCCAGACTCTTTAAAGCCAGATCTTGATTTACTTTTTCAAACTTAGCTATCTCCCCTGACTTCATACTATCTCTGATAGCCATGGTCTCTGCTCCAGATGTTTGGGGCACCTTTCCATTCCTCAAAAACACTCTGCCTTCTCATGTCCAAGACTTTGTGCTCCTCTCAGGCTAGATATTTTTTTTCTGCATCCAGTCCAGCCCAGATGTCACTGCTCGTAGGTAACACCGACTTGCTGACCTCTGTTCTTCCACGGCACATAGCCCTACTACTACAGTAATTTGCAACATACCCTGATGAATTTTACTTGCTTAAATATTCCTAACTCTAGACTGATCTTGTGAATAGAGCAATATCGAAGGGCAAAGGGCAATGCATTAGAAGCAGAACTGGATTTGAGACTTAAATCATGAAACTTCTAGTCGCTCAATTGGTTGAATGCTTTTTTTCTGCATCTGTAAAATGGGAATACAAAACAGAATTATTGTGAAGGCCAAATCATTTAATGTACATGAAGCATTGTACACACGGGAAATAATAGCACCCAGGTGGGACAGCATTATTATCAGGGTAGGTGATCAGCATGGCTTATCAACTGAGTGAGCACTGGAGTTCTCACAATTCATGCTGAATTCAGGGGAGATGACAGCAATATCATGGACCAGTTCTTGTTTTGTGATCTGAGGGAAATGGGTGCTTATGCTTTGTTATCCTTCCCACTGAGGATTATGGCAGACCAGGTATCCATGGCACGACTCACTTTGAATAATGTCAGGCAAAAACTTTGAGTAATCCTCCCTTATCTGTGGTTTTGCTTTACATGGTTTCAGTTAACCTTCAATCAATGGAGGTCCAAAAATACTAAATAGAAAGTTCCAGAAATAAACTATTTATTAGTTTTAAATAACTTTTACTATAATAAAGTTATTATAATTGTTCTATTATTAGTTGCTGTTAATTTCTTACTATTCTTGATTTATAAACTAAACTTTATCACAGATATGTATGTATAAGAAAAAGGGGTCTATAGGGTCAGGTACTATCCACAGCGTCAGGCATCCATGGAGTGTTCCTGTGGATAATCAAAATAACCTTGATTACTAACAGAGGGAGGAGATAGATTAAAAATGATGAGTTTCATCTCTTACTCTAAATTCCAGAAAATGATAGAAAAGGTATATTTTCCTCAGGAATATAGATTATTTTCATCCAATTGTTACCATCTTAGACCAGCTGAAGTTATTCAGTTATCTAAGTCAAGGTCATTGGGGGACTGGATGGAGCTGACCACCCAAGACCAACCGGCAGCATGTGTTGGGCAGGATTCTTTACTGGTCAGAGTTTTGGCTGCCATGAGAATGGTCTAATATAGAAAACAGGCAAGTACCACCAGCACCACACACCACAAGTGAGGATTAGGCAGACGGGAAAGCTTTAGGAATTCTTGGCTAATAGAAAGCAGATAGGAGTAGAAGTCTGGGAAATGAGACCATAAGCATGGCAGCTCAGCACTTCCAGGAGGACCAGGGCAGGAATTAAACTGTGGCGCTGAGAAGACAAGGTCTGCGGCAACAAGCATAGGGGGCAGGAGCAGGGGTGTCATGGTGGCTCATCAAAAGGCTCCTCACCAGGTCGGCTGGGCATTGGTCCCTTGGAGCAGTGGACAGTGGCAGGGTTTACTGCTGGGAGAAAAATTGAGCCCTGTGCTCCTAGATGATGCCCAGGGAGGACTCTCAAGAGAGCCCTGGAGCCTGAGAGGCACAGAACAGAACAAAGAGCAGAGCAGATAAAACCCCAGGGCCCTTTGGGAGACACCAGGGAAGGAAGGGGACAGCAGCTCTCCCAGGAAGAAAGGGCGTGGAATGATTC